ACCATACATGAGTGTTATAACACGTTGATGGACCATACATGAGTGTTATAACATGATGATGGACCATACATAAGTGTTATAACACATTGATGGACCATACATGAGTGTTATAACATGTTGATTGACCATATATGAGTGTTATAACACAATGATGGACCATACATGAGTGTTATAACACAATGATGGACCATACATGAGTGTTATAACGCATTGATGGACCATACATGAGTGTTATAACATGTTGATGGACCATACATGAGTGTTATAACACATTGATGGACCATACATGAATGTTATAACACATTGATGGACCATACATGAGTGTTATAACACATTGATGGACCATACATGAGTGTTATAACACGTTGATTGACCATACATGAGTGTTATAACACAATGATGGACCATACATGAGTGTTATAACACATTGATGGACCATACATGAGTGTTATAACACGTTGATTGACCATATATGAGTGTTATAACACATTGATGGACCATACATGAGTGTTATAACATGTTGATTGACCATATATGAGTGTTATAACACAATGATGGACCATACATGAGTGTTATAACACATTGATGGACCATACATGAGTGTTATAACACATTGATGGATCATACATGAGTGTTATAACATGTTTATGAACCATACATGAGTGTTATTACATGTTGATGAACCATACATGAGTGTTATAACACGTTGATGGACCATACATTAGTGTTATAACACGATGTGGTGTTAAAGGTGTTAAATATCTAAAGTTCTGAGTTGGCCTTGTTTTAAATAGTTCTTGTTCTGTTAGAATTCCTTCATGACTTCAAGCTGATTGTTCTGGTTGTTTCCTGCTGCAGGTAAAATACTGATCATTCATAGCTACTCTATTCAACCCCTTTATTATCAAAACTAATAATAACTTGAATACTCAGGTTTGGATTATTTTACCTTTAAAGTAAGATAAAAACATTTTTTGTCCATAAAAATGTGAAGTGGCTTTACGTAAACTGTCCGCTGCCTCACATAAACACACATCAGAATCAGTTAAACAGGAAGTTAACACTGATTTATTCCTCCTCTGGTTTAGAAGTTCGATGAAGATCTAACACAGATTAAAGGACTCAGGAGTGACTGAGGCGAAGCTTTCTGATGCTGGGCAGGGTTTTGCTTCATGATGCCTTGATAGTCTTCTTGACTTCATTGTGCCCCAAGGTTTCAGGTACCAGAGGCAGCAAAGCATGTTTGACTGTAGACTGTGTTATTTTCTTTGAAAGCTTCTTTTTTTTCTTCTGTATTTATAAAGCTGATGTTGACAGGAGCTAAAAATCCAGTTTGTCTCTTCAGTCCAAGAAACATCTCCCAGAAACTTTAGTTCTTGCAAACATGCTTTTTGGTGGATTGTCTGTTCTGTGTTTTTCTGGTCATAGAGACTTCTGGATTTTTCTTACAGAACTCAAAACTGTGACAGAAAGTGTAGATGGTAAAACAAAACATGGAAATCATTCAAACTGGTCTACGTCACTTCCTGATCCCTGACTAACCTGGAGCTGCATTTCCTCTTGCGTCCATTTGAGTAATATTCTCAGCTGTGTTCAGAGGAACATGAAGCAGCTTGGTCTTATAGCCTTTACCTGAAACATGGAGGTCGATCTGAATGAAGGTTCAGCAATCTGAAATCTGTTGTTTGTGGGTGAGTATAAAGAAAAGTCAAACACAGAGTCAGTGTCAATTTATTTTATTTAATCCAGACCTTTGAACATGAGCCAGTTCAGACCTGCCATTCTTCAGGGACATCAGTCCCAGTCTTCATTTAGGGACCTCCAGGTGGAACTGAACAAAACACTAACGTCTAAAAACAAGTGAGTAAAACCTCCGTCTTTAACCTACAGAATAAAAACCTGTAACCCCAACTTTAATAAACATTTATTAATAAAATAACTCAATATAATGTTTCATCAATCCATCATTTTATAACAGTTAAACTGAAGATGCCAGTGGCTTGTAGGGGTTTTGTAGAGCTTTTCAAGTCCCCCACTTGGTGTTGAAGGACATATAGTGGGCACCAAACCTCAACTTTGAACATCAATCATCTGAGCCTGGAGCAGAGTCCTGTACGGTCAGAAGTCAAAGTGCAGCTTTGTGTCCAGCAGGGACCGTCTGCTCCGGTCATGTTTCTAAAAGGATCAGACTGTTTGTGCATCGAGCTCTTCCCAATCACTGAGTCTGTTTTAATAAAGCCAGAGAACCACCAGCCCAGTTTAAAGCTTTACAGCTTCTGCTGTAATGAAGGATAGGATCTGTAGACCCTGAGGGAAAAGTCAGCTGAATGTTTCCTCCCAAGCATCAGTGAACCAGCGGCAGTCCTTTCCGCTGTCCTCATGAAGACGTGCGGCTTCTCTGCTGGGCTCTCTTCAGCAAGTAGACCACACCCTGAGCAACAAAGGGCCACAGCAGGAAGAGAAGGAGGGTCTGACCCGACACATCGAACGGCCACCATGTCTCCTCCTACAGACGAAAAGTCAGGTCAGCAAACTCATCTAACACTAAATCCTGTCCTGCATTTAGAGAGATACAGGTCTGTACCACTTCTAACTGAAGACCAGACCACGGAGGTCTGGGCTGAAAAATAAAAACATTATTTAACTACCAGCTTTAGGGAGGAAGAAAACAAACAACTTTTTATTTATCAGAATCCTTCTAAATAAAACTGTTATTTTGAGATATAATAATCAATAAGGATTGTTGTGGAATACTGATTATGTATCACCTTGACACTGTCCAATTGTTCATATCTTATGATATCGTCTGGACGTCATCTTCAAGCTGACCTACTTCATTTACCAGAACGAGGCGGTTCCTGGTTGGTTAAACATTATCACATGATGATAGCTCACAGTATAACTTTGTTTGCCCGGCCTATGACAGCCGGGCCCACATCTTACAGACTTCGTGATTGCTTTCTGTTTAATGTCTGCCCATCAATAAATGACTTTATAATCACACCCGCAAGACTTTGTCTTTTAAACACCCTTTTCGCCGTGGTTCTGACCATTCTTGCCACGACAAGGATGTTCTATGGTTTGTGTTTATTCTGTGGTGGTCTTCAATGTCACTTTGTTTGCAGTTCTGCTGTGCTTTACTAGTTAGGTTTAGAGGTATGGTGTGAATTAAGTTCTGGTTCAGGTTAGTGTTAACTACACTACTCAAAAAGTTTGGGATATTTGGCTTTCAGGTGAATTTTATGGAAAATGTAAAAAGTTCACGCTACAGTGATATATCATAAAAGTAGGACATTTAAGTAAAAGAATGCACTGGTGATTTCCTCATCTCAAACAATTTACTGAAACAAAAGTTAACAACAATGGTGGGTACACCACAACAAAAAATTTCAACATCTCACTAACTCGTCATGTGTCTTTGAGCATCAATTACAGCTTGACAATGACGTCTCGTGCTGTTCATAAGTCATCTTATTGTCTGCTGGGGCATGGTTTCCCACTGTTCTTGAAGGGCAGCCCTCAGGTCATTCAGGTTCTGGGCGTGCAGAGTTTCGAGCCTCTACAAGGCGACTCAGCTGATCCCACAGGTTTTCAATGGGATTCAAGTCTGGAGAAAGTGCAGGCCATTCCATTTGAGGTTCATCCGTCTCCAACAGCCGTTCCCTGATGATGCGACCTCAATGAGCTGCAGCATTGTCGTCCATGAAGATGAAATCAGGCCTGTGTTGTTCATGTAGGGGCACAATCACTGGATTAATGATGTTATTCAGGTAGTGTGGGCTTGTCACTGTACCATTCACAAAGTGTAGGGCAGTTCTGTACCGACTGGAGATATCTGCCCACACTGTAACACCTCCACCACCAAAAGCTCGTCTGGTGACAACAGTGGCGGATGCATAGCTCTCTCCTTGATGTTGCCAACATTGCTGGCGGCCATCATTTCTGATGTGAATCGACTTTCATCAGAGAATAGCACTGAGGCCTACTGGTCCCTCGTCCAGCGTAAATGCTCCCTGGCCCATGCAAGACAATGACGCATGTGTCTGGTGGTGTGGTCAGGTACCCTTGCAGGTCGTCTAGCACACAGATCACGCTGATGTTAACGGTTTTGAATGGTCTGACATGACACTTGGGTGCCTCTCACCTCCCTTAACCATGCCTGGAGTTGAGTGGCCTTCATCATCTGGTTTCTCAGGGCATTGTTCACAATGTAACGGTCATCAGCATGGGATGTGGCCAAAGGACGTCCACTTCTACAACTTTCTGTGACTCTTCCAGTCCCTTGGTATCTCTGTTACAACCTGCTGATGACACTCTGTGACACTCTAAGCTCAGTGACCACAGTCTGAGAACGTCCTGTTTGAAGCATCCCAATGGCAAGGTACTGTTGATCCAATGTTAGGTGTCGTCTTGGTCTCATGATGTCAAAATGTGAACAGCATGATGGGGACGACTGTTTAAACACCAGCTCTGAACCACAACATTTATTGGTTGATTCAATGATCAAACACCTGTTGTGAATGTTGCCGTTAAGCTCCTCGTTAGAAAACAGCAACTTGTCCAAAAAGAACTGAAACATTTAACAGTTGGATAGATGCATTCAAAAGCTTAGAGAAGGTCATATTAAGTTCACCTGTAAGTTTAAATGCATTTTAGGCACGTCCTGAAATTAAACCCAAAAGCCGAATATCCCTAACTTTTGGTGAGCAGTGTATGTAGACCAGTAATGGTTAATGTTACTAGTTAGGTTTAGAGGTGTGGTGTGAATTAAGTTGTGGTTCAGGTTAGGGTTAACTATGGACCAGTAATGGTTAATTTTACTAGTTAGGTTTAGAGGCATGGTGTGAATTAAGTTCTGGTTCTGGTTAGGTTTAACTATAGACCAGTAATGGTTAATTTTACTAGTTAGGTTTAGAGGTATGATGTGAATTATGTTCTGGTTCAGGTTAGGGTTAACTGCAGACCAGTAATGGTTAATTTTACAAGTTAGGTTTAGAGGTCTGGTGTGAATTAAGTTCTGGTTCCGGTTAGGGTTAATCATAGACCAATAATGTTTAGTTAGGGGTCTGAAACCTTTACAACCAAGAGAACAGTTTCTGCTCCATAGCTCACTGATAAAATGTGTCTGGAGCTCCAAAACGTGCTACAACTGGGAAAATCAACTTGGTGGCCCGTGGGCCGCTTCAAGTCTGTTGTGGGGTTTCCAGCCTGTGTGGTGACCTTGTAAAACTAAAAATATGTAGTGAATTTTAACGTTTACAATAGTTTTTACACTTTAGGACATAAAACCCCACCATGTTCATGTAAACAAAGAAAATAGTGTGTAGAGTTTCTACCAAAATGAACTGAAAACTACATCTGAAGTGTGCAGGCTTATATTTCTGCTCATTCTTATGATTATCTACTCAAGTTTTAAAGGTTTTTAAAGGTAGCCTAGTGAATTTGAGAAAAATAGTACTACTCTATGGCTGGGAGTTGGATTACTAAAGTGGCTAACAGGCTGCATGATCTTATATCTGCTGGAGCTGGACAACCTGAGGGAAGGATGCATCTCTGAGCATGGCTTTTTCATCTTATTGATATCAAAAAGAAAAAATAAGTAGGTCCTCTGGATGGGTTCTTCTTTAGTGAAACGTTTCTTCTCTCCTCCAAAAGAATTCTTCAGTCTGATGAGTTTCAGGTGAACTCAGCCTTATAAGCTACGCCTCCACATGGTGGACAAACAGGTTAGTCACATGCAAAAGAGGGCTATCGCCTAACAATAGGCTTGATTGGCTCTATTGTTCATAGAGGGTCATGTGCCCCATCACCTGACCCGTGTCGTGTTATGTGTATGTATTGAATGCAAGCGGGGGTTCAATGTCCCCTTATTTTTGTCCCTCTCTCCCTCTTTGTGTTGATATCATTAGGGCCCTGATTCACACCTTTTACTCACAGGGGGAGGAGTCATAGTTGCAATAACAGCGTTGTAGGAGGAGGACAACTAGACACGAAGGCCTCCACCTCTGTTTAATGGTGGACGGTTTTTCTTCACAAAGATGGCTTCCTTTACTCTTCTCTCAAACCAACGTTCCTCTCTATCAAGGATGAGAACATCTTCATCCGTGAAAGAGTGACCCCTGGCTGATGAGTGTAAACTGTAGAGTCCTGGTCTGTCGATGAGTGAGTCCTGACCTGTAGATGAGTGTAAACTGCAGAGTTCTGGCCTGTAGATGAGTGTAAACTGCAGAGTTATGGCCTGTAGATGAGTGTAACCTGCAGAGTCCTGACCTGTAGATGAGTGTAAACTGCAGAGTCCTGACCTGTAGATGAGTGTAAACTGCAGAGTCCTG